TATATATGTACATATATATTACATATATTTTACATATATATATACACACACACACACACACACACACACACACACACACACACACACAAGGTATGAGCAAAGATACTAGAATTTGAAGGATGAAGTCAGCTCTCTGTGTTCATCTCTTAGAACTTCTCAGAGGGAAGGATCAAGAATAACAGGAAGCACCGGGCGTGGTGGCACACACCTATAATCCCAGCACTGGGGAGGCTGAGGCAGGAGGATCGCTGTGAGTGTGAGACCAGCCTGGGCTACATAGTGAGTTCGAGATCAGTCTCAACTACATAGTGAGACCCTGTCTAAAAAAACAAAAGCAAAATACAACAACAACAAAAAGAACAGGAAGGAATTTCCCTGGGAAGAAACAGATGAAATATGTTTTAACTCCCATCGAAAAGGACCTCTCGAGCGCTAAGTGTGACTCATCACAACCTTCATCCCTGACGGGCTGATAGGACACATTCTGCAAACCACATGAAGTAGAACTGGCGAACGCCGTGACGAGTAAAGACACTCAGGAACGCTAACGGAGAGTAGTGTCAGGCAAAAAGGAACTTTCCACTTAGAAACCAGTGCACTGAATTGAAAGTGCAGTTTACAGAGGAGATGCCGTTGCGCTGCGCCCAAGAACGTGAGTGTCAAGCAAACGAAAACCTCGCAGATTCTAGCACGGTGACCAGATCTTTCTTCATCATGAGAGACTTCAGTGTACTTTTCAGAAATAGCCGGGGAAAGTGGACAAGAGATGGAATCAAACTCACTTTCAAGATTGATGATTTATAGGTGACTCTGCAAACCACATACCTTTAAAATAACTTAGGGAAGTTGGATGACATACATGTAAAGGTCTGTGATTTTAGATATCAGGAAAACTTGCCACCTGCGCTCCCATAAGTGAACGGACCAGGGAAGCAGAGCAGTGGATGCGGGCATTGATGGACAGATCGCCTTAGTGTTGGCGAGACCACAACTCCGGCAAGGGTGGCCGAGAGGGAGGAAACCCGGTTCCCAGTTTCACGATGAAACGTGAAAAGCAGGTGAGGTGGACCATTTGCTATGAAAGCATGCTGAAATGGACACTGAATATTTGCTGCAAACTTGAACAGAAAATAGACTTGGAGAGATTTTTAGAAATGATTCTGATACCATAATCGATCCAGGATGTTTATGGTCAAGCGATTGAGCTCCCTAAGGCTTCAGTGACAGCTGGGTGTGGGAGCGCACACTTGTAAGCCTAGCACTAGGGAGGCTGAGGCAGACGGATAGCCAGCCTGCAACACATGGTGAATTCAAGCCAGCTGGAGCTACACAGTGAGACCCTGTCTCAGAAACAAACAAAAATGACAGTAGCAACTGCGAAAGACTTCCGTGAAAAACTGGTCTTTATTTTTAACTTAATGTTTTAGAACTTAAAAAATATGGAGTGCTTCATTCCTTTCTCTTAGGCGAGCATCACTTTGCAGTAAAATGTGAGCGACATGAACACATACTCTGAAGACTCCTGGAACTCTTTGCTACTTGATAACAGAACTAGAAAATACTACATAACATTGGAAGGGGGTCCAGTCCTCATTTGGAATACAAATTATGACTTAAGAATTTACTCGGGAATATTACCACAGGTTCAAATATGCCGTGTTCACCTCAGTTCACCTATTTCTAATTAAAAAAATAGTAATTTGGTGAAGAAAGAGTTTGAGTTTGAGAAAAAGAAAGCATTAGAAGTGTAGTCTTACTATCAGAAACAAGGCATGGATTCTTCCTGTTACTTTGCTTTAGTTCTTTACACACTGAAGACCCTGACCAGTGCAGCAGAATGAACAGAGAAATGGGCGTCGTCTCTATTAAAAGCAGGAGAAGCAGGAGTCAGAGCTGTTCGTGATAGGGCTGTGCAGGAGTCCGGAAGAGGCACCAGGAAACGGAAGGGATTGGAGCTGGATAGAGCTGCGGTGATGAAGGGACAGCCACGGCGTGCCTTTAGTGCCCTGTGGGAAGCGGGGTGGACGAAGGGCGGCGTGTTCTCAGTGGCTTGAGGTGTCAGGTGTCAGGGAGAGCCCCAGAGCAGTCTGCAGGGCTCCAAGAGGAAACGGGAACATTCCTGCACTGCACTGCCTTCAAGACCTCAGCGCACAAAGGAGTGCATTCCTGGATGGGAAAACTCAGCACGCAGGTGCGGCTCTTCCCACACGTGTTTATAAACTGGGTGTCGTAGTCTTGCCACAAAGCCTAGAAAGCTTTCCTGTGGAAAAGAACACATAGGCAGTGAAAGTTTATGAAGAAGAATTAATGTTTGGGATAATGAAATTTTTAAAGAGGGAAGAACTGAGCAAACATCATGCCCTAACAGCATAACTGTCAATACTAGCATGTAGGAAGTATGTTATTTCTGCAGGAACTGACAAAGCAACAGGACGGAAAAGTCCAGAAATACTCTTAAGTGCCTTACGTTTTGATAGTGAAACATTCTAAAAGATTAAAGAGGTGTGTTCACTCTAATGAAGTTTTGCCTTTACAGCTAAGTAATGAAGCCACACTTGTTTTCCTCTGCTTTGTTGGGGATGGATCGCTTTTTTTGGGGATCAGATCAGAAGTAACGAGTGCTCAGTTAGAATAGGCATAGCTCTGGTTATTAGGCTCCATTAAAAATGGAAAAGTAACTTCTTTTCTTTTTTTTTAAGGTTCCTTGTTTGCTGCTTTGGGTATACGTAATAAGCAGGGATCCCGGTCAGGTCATTTAAGCAAAGGGGATTACAGTATTTGGAAGCAGGCTTTTGGGTAGGTTAAATCACACTGTAGATAAGCTACTGGATCACAACATTTTGGAAACAAAAGTCACAATGTTAAACAGGCCACTCGGGTTCAGGAGAAGCTGCCAATGCCTGGCTGTTCAGAATTGTTCATTATAACTATCCTCCACGTTTGTTCCGGCCCCCTTGCTGTGGACTTCAGTTTTGGAGTGACACAGTTTGCCATCGTGAATAGGACTGCCTTGTTTTAAAATCTGTGATTGAGTTTCTGAAAGTATTTTGGTGTAAAATGTTGGTCCTTTCATCCTCTCTTGAACTGGATTAAATACCAATTTTAATAAATGCTTAAGGTTAAAGAAAACTATAATAGGAATTTGAGGTGGCTTGAAATTGCCCAATCCTTAAAGCTACTTTTAGTTGAATTTTATTTAGTGTGGGTTATTTTGTATGTACATTTCATCACAAGCTATACATACTTATATTTTCATGTTTTTGCTTTAGAAGGTGTTTTTGGAATTTGTATACTTAACAGATTAAAACGGCTTTAAAACCCTAATAGTATGATATTATCTTGAATTTCACTAGGACATTCTTGGTTGCAGCTTCCCTTGGCCTTTCAGCCTGATAGTAGTAGTCAACTATTACAAGGATCTAGACCCCTTTAGAAATTTCTAAAACTCGTAGCAAGTTCACTGTCCTTAGGAAAGCATGTGCTTCTCTGTCTGCTCATGTGTGTGTTCTGTCCCTGTCTCTGCTTATCATTTTGTCTGTACCCCATCTCCCCTAGGTCAGTTACAGCATGGCAGCTGCGAACTTTTCTGATAGTCTCATCGAGCTGAGGGGTGCTGCTCTGCTGTTCTCACATAACACACACGACCCCTGTCCTTTGTTCTGTTCCCTGTAACTGTGTCTTCTGTCCTCACCTCAGCACTCCTTGGGGAGAATGTATGGGCTGAAATCACTTTTCCCCTATGTAGATAAAGGTGACAAAAACCCTTAACATCAAGCAGATTTGTTCTTTGTTGGATTCCCCTCATTTGCCTGTACCCAAAATTGTAAAGGTTGTGTTGAGTCTTCAATTTTAGCCAATGCATTGGAGACCGTTCCACTAGTAACTGAGCTGTGCACTTGGGTGAGTGGAGGAGGATGTTTCCCTGCCTAGTTTTCTGAGTCCCTGATAAATCCTGATGTCATGGGGGGTGTGGGCACTGCACGGTTGGGGCCACGTGATATGACCCGGTGCTGCATTCTCTCCAACAGGGAAGGTAAAGCTGCTGCTGAAGGAACTCTGGCTGTGTGTGAACTCGGCACACAGGCTACCGGGCGAAGGCAGCAGATATGTCCCAGGTGAGGGAGACGCGCGCTGAAGGGCGTTTCATAGGAGGGAGTAGACGTGTTTACCGCAGGTGCACAGCCATAGCCTTCTGAAGTCTGCTGAGCCGAAGCAATGAACTGTGTGTGCTTCTGATCGTACAGAAGTGCTTTCCCGTCATTGTGACTTTTCTCCTGGCAAGCATGTTTAGTTTTTACTCTTCCAGTAGTAGCTTTTATCAGTGCATTAAAGAAACCAGAAAGACAAAAACCTGAGATATATCTGGCAAATATATGTGGAAAACTGAAGGGTGTACTTTTTAAAAAATCATTTCTTGGGCCGGGGGTTTAGCTCAGTGGCGACACCGCCTGCCTCACATTCACAAGGTCCTAAATTTGATCCCTGGCACAACCCCCCCCAAAAAAAAAATCATTTCCTGGGCTAGGGATGTAGCTCAGTGGCGCTGAGCCTGTAAGATCCTCAGTTCGATCCCTGGTAGGAAAACAAAAATCATTTCCTGAGTTTTTCTATGAAAAATTTGACTCATCCTTCATATACTTTCCCAGTTCCCTCGGTCAGATATCTTCACTTGCAGTGAGATGTTATGGGGACATTCAACTACGTTGGCATTTGTAGAACGTTTCAAATTTTACTGTACGTATTTAAAATAAATAAAAGGGAGGCTGAGGCAGGTGAATTCCAAGTTTGAACCCAGCCTGGGCAACGAGTGACTCCGCATTACCCTGTCTTGAAAATGAAAAATGAAAGAAAATAAGGCGGGGGGCTAGAGCTCAGTGTGAAGGCCCCAGGCTTAATCCTCAGTTCCTCAAAAATGAAGTAGACAAGCGGGCTGCTGTGGCTGTGACCTCGGCAGTCTGTGGGAACGCGTGGACACCTAATTATCCAGCTTCCTCCGGGCTTGGGAAGACAGGCTTCCCCGAATGGCGGGTTGCTGATTCTCGCCGAGGCTGCATTTGGACTTGCGGAGAGACACCGATGGGTTCTTGTAAACAGATTTCTCTCGGTTCTCTTGGCAGATGACGGTATCAATAGGAGCGAGGTGCTGCCTGCAGCTGCTGACTCGGGCTGTGTGGTGTGGGCCACTCTGTGTGAGGCCCATCAGAGAGCTTGGGCGGGCGTTCTCCTCTGTCCTCTGTGTCAGTGATTGCATCTGAAGCACCTTTGGGCCTATAAAGATACTAGAAAGCTGACCTTCACTTACTACCCTGATGCTTTTACTCAGAACAAACTTTCAGTGCTGTCTGTTGCTGATGTCTTCCACAGGTAGAATGGAGAACATGGCATCTTGGGAATCTCACATTACTCTACAGTACAGTCCTTTTTTATTTTTAACCGTTCATAAGGGAATGTTACAAAATAGAGCAGAGAATTCACTTCCCCATATCTCCCTAATTTTAACGTTTCCCATTACCAGTGATCAAAACTAGAACATTTGGTACTGTCCTGCTGACTCAAGGTAGACCTCTTGTGAATGTCACAAGCTTCCCACTGATTGCCCCTTTCCTTCCTGGATCCTGACCAGAAACCTGTGTTGCTTTTTGGAGTCATCTTTCCATCTTCTCCACCCTGACAGTCTCTCACCTCGTACTCACCTCTTACATCTTTGACGCTTTGGGGGAGTCTTGTTTGTAGAAAGCCTATCGCTGTGGCTCTCGGTACGTTTCCTTGTGTTGGCCTGAGCCTGAGTTTGTGGCAAGGATACCACAGGGTGACATTTCCTGTGCTCAGAGCACCGCAGGCTGGCTAGGTCGGGGTCCGTGTTGCCACTCTGTCACCCACTGAGCTTAGGAGCCCCAGATGGATCTGGCCTGCTGTAGTTACTGCTTTGGTATTTGCTCAGTTATGGTTTTTGTATTTCACTGTGTCTGAAAACTCATTAATTAGAGTTCTTCTGTAAGGACGAGCTGTCCCTTCTCCACTCTGCTCTTTCATGTGCGGTATGTCTCGGTGTGTTCGCATTCACTGGTATTGGTCCGTGTACTTGCGTAACTGCTTTATTCTCTGCACCGTCACTCACCGCTGTCCCTCGTTAGGGTTGAGTTGTTCCAGTTGGGTCACCGGCACTTCTTTAGAGTGGCCCCACCCTTCAGACACATTTCATCCTCTTCTCCGTCCTTGGCCTTCTGGCATTGGGGATGTTTCAGTCTCAACTTGTATCTTCCCTCCCCATCCCTGAACTCCATTTCTCCAAGGAGCTCTGGATCCTCTGTAAAATACTTTCACAGCTTCCAGATACGATGTAGTGATTTCATAAGACCCATGTGTTTACTCTGAACTGAAGTTCATCAAGATCAAGACCCTAGAAGAATTAGTTCTTCAGTTTCTGTGTTGCGGTATATCCAGCGTGTTCACTGAACAGTCAGGCTTTTCTCTTGCTGCATCGTTACAGGAGTGGTCATGGGTGCTGGGCTCGGATTGCCTTTCAGAGAAAATCATGCCCCTCTCGGTCGTACTCAGAATTGCTTTTGCCCTTCTGCTGGTTAAGGAAGGGTCGCCCTCCTGCACGCTGCTAGCGGTGTCCTGCCGGTGAGGGGCTCTCCCACCCATTACCTCTTCTCACTGCCGTAGGAAACAGTGTCTTCTAAAACTCTTTCTCCTTACTTGCAGTGATTTCCAGAAGGGCTCCTTTTTGTTAAAGTTTTCTTGAAAGTGTAAGTATTGAATACCCCCTTTCACCCCAGGAAAACCTGCCAAAGAAGACCCCAGACCCAGAGCACCTGGGGAGGATGACACGCTCCCTCCAGCCCCAGGCAGCCCTCCCAGGCCCTCGCGTGCGCAGACATGCCTCACGAAGCTGTCCGTGGAGATGCAGGCTGACCGTGCTGCCTGGAGAGGTGTGGACCCAGAGCAGCCCAGTGGAGCAAAGCACCACGCCAGCGGAGTTGTTTCTGACGAGGACCAGAGTCCTGAGGGTTCACTGCCGAGTCCTGATGACTGGGACCGGACCGACTTTGCCCGCCCTGCTCACTGTTTAGACAGAGACCTTCAGGCCGCAGTGGACTTCTTCAGACTTCCCCCCCCTCTTCTGTCTCCGGTGCCGTCCCCCCCGCGTATGCCTTCGCCGTGCCTGGATTCCTCAGCGTCTGTCCTCGACCCCGTGAGTTGCTCTCAGACCCGAATTCCGCGTGGGCATCTTGTCCTCGTGTGTCTGCGATACTCGGAGGGCTTCAGTGGCCTCGGGTGGACTCCATCCTAGCCACTTCCGTCGGAGGTGACGAGAGGTGTGAGACAGGCGTACCCATGCCCTTCGCATCATCATTGTAGGATCAGCTGTTTACTTTGTATTATGGTTGCGTTTTTATTTGTCTTTATCCCAACCAAATGATAAGTTTCCTGTATGAAGATGTCTGAAAGTTTTCACTTCTGTCACTAGAGCCTGACGAGTAGTAGAGAATGAACGAATGAACCGTGTATTTGTGGGCCTGGAGTTGACGGGCGGGAAGGTCCCTGTGGGGGGTACATGCCTCTTGGCAAAGTGCAGCCCGGTTTCCCCCTTCCGCTTGGTGGATTCTTGGTGTCGTGCACTTACAGAGTGTTGTTGGTGGTTTCTAAGGAAGTTGGTATTGGCAAAGCAGACTTGCATATCATTCAGTTTAGGGGGTGGCTGGATGTACTGTTCTCTTCAGGGTGCGCGTGCACAAGTGTGATATCCAAACGCTGGACCAGGCATGGGTGTGCAGAGGTGCACTGTGGGCTACCGTGTGGAACAGGGACCGGGAAGGGTCCACTGGCTGCCTGGCTGGGGTGGAGCCCGCAGCACAGGGAGCATTGCCTGCGCCAGGGGCAGAAGCCTGGCCTGAGCAGAGGCCAGCTTGGCGAGGGAGTTTGAGTGGAGAAGCCGGACATGGTGACACGAGATTCAGGGTGAATGTGGCTTCGGGGAGTCTGTGCAGATGGTCAGGAAGGGTGCGGGCAACGGGAACACTAGTTGAACCCAAGTCTGAGTCTGAGCATTCCAGGTTAGTTGTGCTGCCGATGAGCAGGGCGCAGGGTAGAGTCGGAAACAGGCAGGGCCGTGGTTCGCTTCCTGATTCAGCCCGTCTGGATGTGGGTGAGGCCATGAGGTTAGCCGAGTGGGGCTGGCTCAAGAGATGTTGCCAGGTCACACGAGCAGCATGTGAGATTCTGGGAGGAACTCCAGGTGAGCACACCTGGTGCACACTGCAGACTCGCAGGTGTGGTGCTAGTGGGGCACAGACATTTAGGGCATGGCAATTCACTGTGTGGCTCTTTGGTGGGATGTGGTAAGAGTGTGAGCAAGGTAGAGGGGTGGGGTGTGGCCCCACTGAGGCTCCTGGGGAACTGGACACATGGAGGAGGAGCAGGAGAGCAAAGGTGGGGTTAGAATGAGAGGAAAGCCATGAGACAGCAGTTGTCCCAGTTCAGGAGGGGAGCAGGCCTGTGTCTCCTCCCTTTATAGGGCAGTGATGTCACGGGACAGCCTGTGGAAAGGGACCTAGGGCTCTGGAGGACAGGGTGGGAGGGAGCGACCTCTGTGGGGGGCAGCTGTGGTGTGAGGACACCCAGAGTCACGGTGAGGCTTGTCCTGGAGCCTTCCTGGAGTGTGATGCCCTGGGGAGAGAGGAAAGAGGGCTGTGGAGCCCAGGCCCCGGGCCTAGGAGACCAGGAGGGGAGGCTGGAAGTAGGAATGCATGGAAATGTGGCAGACAGACAGCCCTGGCCCTGTGCAGAGGGCCTTAGTTCTCAAAGGAGTGCAGTGGGGAGGGGCAGGGTCTCAGCAGGGGTGTTTCTTGAGAAGAGCGTAAGGCAGCATCATGCCAGGCGCTGGCATAGTCCAGTCCCATCCTAGAGCCAGGGCTCCTTTGCTTAGGTGGGATGTGAGTGGTCCTTCAAGAAGTGCACCCTTTTCTCCAGGGGTTTTAATTGATGCACTGGTCTTCCTTTCAGGAAACCTACTTTGGAAGGTATACAGATTCCAGCGACAACGACTCTGGTCAGCATAGAAATTCTGCTGACTCTGTTTCTGAAGATGATGTACCTGAATCACAAGATTATTTTGGCTTATCCAGAAGAAATAAAACAAGTGCGTGGGAAGAAAAACCTAGGTTCCAAGAAGCTACACAAGCTCTAAATAAGTTGGCAGTGAACAAAGTGACAGCTGCTGGACTTGTGACTTTCACAGCAGCATCGAGAGAGCCTTCAGCCCCATCCTCTGGAGCTCGGGAGAAACCCTGGATGGTGTCATCTGGATTCGAGAGTGATAGAGAGAGAAATGTTTTAGATGAGGTGGGACGACCAGTGACAGTCAGGGAGAGCGCGGAATCCCTGCAAGCTGGGGGCCCTCATCATGCTCCCGGCCAGAGTCCATGGGGTGGGAGGTCGTCCAGCAGCCTAGCAGGAGGGAAGGACGCAGCCACAGGGAAGTCTCCCCCTCACAGGAGGCCGCTGGATGAATTCCGCGAGTCTGTAGGAGCATCGTCTCCGTCCAGAATGAAAGGGTTGCACACATCAGAATTTACCAAGTGGACGCTTACCGAGGGAAGCGCTTTGGAGGCAGACCGTGTAACCGGATCTGGCCGTTTTCTGAGAGCATCAGGAGAAATGGCAAAGGACACAGAAGACATGCAGGGGTCTACTTCGGGAGAATCGCCTGAACCAGAGGAAGTCGGCAGCGACGCAGGTGGTGCAATAGGTCCGGTAGGGCTTGATGTTACAGCTGGCTTTTCTTCCTTTTCTACCTCGTTACCGATGTCCGTCTGCAGTAATCCTCACTCTTCACAGTTAGAGTGTGTTAATGACACAGATGTTCCAGCTACCGTAATCCCTCCTAAACTGTGCCATTCAGAACAGAAATTACAGACTAAAACTTTCAACACACTACTTCTGCAGTCTGAGCCACCAGAACGCTCCATCCGAGAAAACCCCCCAGAGAGTGGCTTGCGAGCCTTGAGCCCTGAACTGGGAGCGCCGGAGTTGAATGAGCCGAAGGGCAGGGAGCTAGGACACACAAAGATTGTCAGAGGCTCTACCAAAATATTCTCCTTTCCACAGCTGTCAGTATTCAGGAAGGCGACAAAAGACGGACGTTGTGAAACCCAAGATCCGAGACTAGAACTCACACTACAGAAGTCAGATCTAGCTTTGTCAGCAGGTGCTCAGGCTGGCTTGATCAGGAGTGGCTCTGATTTTGGGAAAAGCACTTCATGGCACCATAGTGATTTATTAAGGAGAAGTAGTGGAGAGAGTCCGAGAGCTACCTCAGAACATGAACAGAAGAGGAACCATCAGTTTGAACTGGCACCCACTGGACAGAACAAAGGGGCAGCAGCCATGCAGCACTTCCCTGGAGAAAATAACAGTCCTGTGGAATGCAGGGCTGCTGCTTCATTGCTGCCTAATCAAGTGTCAGTCATCACAAAGCAGGCAAGACCCCAGAAGGCTCAGAGGGCTTACTCGGAGCACTTGAGACCGAGCAGGAACGAGCCGAGCTTAGCAACGGGAAGTTGTGATAGCAGAAGCCAGGATACAGCACCTGTGGCAGAGCGAAGTAGGGGAGGAGCGGATACAATCAGAAACATTAGAGAAGTGGCCACTCAGAGAACTACTGCACCAGAAGCGTCTTCCTCTTGGAGAGCAGGAAATTTTGATCCTCCCAGTGGTTTTTTACCAGCAGGAGATGTGGATTGTTCTGTGGATGGTAAAGTATCTATTTCTTCTGAAGACACTGTCACCTGCAGCCAGGCTGATTCCAGGAATGCTGCCTCTCAGGATGAGGTGCAGACACCCAGGCCGTCACCTCTCTGCTTGGGTCCAGACCCATGCAGGGCAGAGGGCACTGAGCTGCTTCCTGCCAAGGTAGCTGTGGCGGGAGGCCGCCCTGTGGAACCGGCACCCTGCCAAGGCCCTGGCACTCCAATCACTGAGGCCCGGGCTGTTCCCAGCGATTCCCCCCGCACATCACAGAAGACTCACGAGTCTTCCAGGGTGGCGCCTGGAGCACCTGGTGCTGCTTTCCCGGAATACTTTGTTACCACCAGCCTGGCCTTTTCTTCACCATTGTGCAGCAAAGCTGACACAAGGGACATCTCCCAGCGTGGCCCCCCGGGTGCCTCCTTCTGTTGTGCAGGGATTCGGGAGGCAGGGGAGAAGGACAGCGAGGTGGAAGGGAGTGAGAGTGCATTCAGCTGCAGCGAGAGTGAGCTGGAGGCTGAGGGGCTGGGTAAGGGACCTCAGGGTACAGTGGGCAGCACCCGGAAGGCATTGGGTGACAGTGAGGCTGCGGGACCTGGGACAGGAGCTTCCCTAGAGCTGGGCGATTTGACCTCAGCACTGCAGGAGTTTAACCTGAGTCCTTCTCCTGACATGGACAGGCTTTCTGCATCCGGGGTCCTCATGTTTCTGGAGAGTTGTCAGTTAAGGGACTATAGTTCAGGGGACTCTGTTTCAGAATGTTCTAGCAAGGGAACCTTAGGTAAAGAAGTGGATGGAGAGTTAAAGCTGAGGGAAGTATCAGGAGAGAAGTGTGGTGAGCAGCCCCGTGAAGAAGAGATGCTTAGGACCCCTGGGGAGTGGATTGAAGCTGAAGAGGACAACTGTTCTGTGAAAGCTCCCAGCCCCCTTGCTCAGTGCTCCTTGGAAATACAGTCTGAGGTTCTCAACAGAATTGGACAAGAGCTTGCAACAAATCATGAGGACTGTAATGGTAATGATGCTGGTAATTTATTGCTCCTAAATATATATAACAGCCTGACAATGGAAGATTTGAAAGACAAAGTTCCATTCCCCCAGGAAGTGATGCCCCACTCCCCAGAGCTGACCCTGCTACCTGCTGCCCCAGATGTGAGAGGCAGCTCCCCTGCAAGGGATGGGGACCACCCTGAGAGCAGACCTGAGGACAGTCCCGAGGCCACCAGGCCTGCTGCCCACGGGCAGGGCCCATCAGAACCCGCAGAGCCAGACATCACATGTGGTTACCCTGCTACAGAGGCCGGGACCCAGCACAGCTCCGACTGTGAGGACGAAGGGGCCTTTCAGTGTCAGGTTCCCACAGCAACCTCAGAAGCCATAAATATACTGATCACCGAGGCTCAGAGTCTAGTCACTGACCAGGGGGACAGCTGGATGGACATCAGTGGCGTCGCTGTCTCTCCAGACATGGACCAGGTTGCACTGTGTGATACTCAGGGTCAGGGCCAGGGAGGGCTGGAGGCTGCTTTGGTTTCAGTGACTTCTGTGGAGCTGTCCCCAGACCCTGCAGTGCAGGAGCCTCTAAGTGGCAGTAATCTAGGTGCCCAGGAGGATGTTTCAGGCAGCGGGCCGGGCACCAACTTCGATAAGAGCCGTTTGCGGAACAGACCTGTCAAGCCTAGTATCTGGATTAGTTCTCAAATATACGATCAGACATTCGAGACTCCAAATGTCACCTCTGATCACACATACTATAACTCAAAACTAGAGATGTCTGGCAAAAATAAGAATCGATCAAAGATTTCCAACAAAGATCAACCCAACAAACCAGCGAAGACTGTAGCACCAAGCAGAGGGGAAGCTCATCAGAGTGAAGTTCCTCGGGCGGGTTCAGGGGACAGAGGGAACACAAAACCTCCCCGAGGTCAGACACAACCCGTTCTGGCAAAAGCCGACACGTCCACTCCCACAGACTGTCCTCTCGACACGCTGAGCAAGATCCGGCAGGAGGTGGGGCCTCCTCTGCCACCCCTGCTGGCCCCCCTGATAGCCACCCCTCCACGGACCTCACAGCCCCTCTCCCCTCTGATGTCCATCCCCAGTCCGTGCTCCCCAGCCTCTCCTGCTGACCTGATCTCCCCCTCCTGCGAGATTGCCGCACCTCCTGTGTTGTCTCCGTGGCCCGAAGGCCCCGGGCTGGCCTCCCCGCCGGGGCCCTCTCCGTCTCCCTGTGCTGCAATGGCTGGGGGAAGGATCATGTCCTCTCCTTTGCAGTTTTGTGCAGCCACACCAAAGCACGCGCTTCCTGTGCCAGGCAGGCTGCCGCCCTGTGCACCCGGCCACACTGCTGTTGTGGGTGGCCCTCAGGAGAACTCTGTGAAAATCCTCGACACCATGTACCCAGAGTTGTCCGCCAGGGCCCGCACCCTCAGCATCCTCAAAGGGAATCTCCAGTTGTCTCGAGGTTCGTCTGTGGACGGGAAGACTTTAGCGGGGCCTGTGAGTGCACTGATAGGATTCAAGGCCATCACTTCCTCCTCAACTGCTTTCGTCAAAACTGGGGGTGGCTCTGGTGGTGAGAGTCACCAGGATAGGCCAAGAGATATGAGGACTCAGTCTGATTCAGGTGGGAAGAGAACATTGTCAGTGTCGACTCTGAGGAGCGCAAAGAGATTGCGCCTGGGCAGTGAGTCCCCAGAACCAGAAACCCTGGGGACTGCTGCCAGACCCGACCTCCTGGGAAATCTCCCTCAGGCAGGAGCTAATCCTGTACAGCAGGAAGGCAGCTGTGCCTCAGCCATCGGCCCAGTGCCCCAGGTACCTCCAAAGCCAAAAGAAACGGTGGAGTCACACGATAAAGCCATCGCTCAGGCACTGAAGAAAATTGCAGAGTCCTCTTTTGATCTGTTGCCTGTCATTCGTAGTCACGTGTATGTGGGAAACATCTCCAGAAAGCCTGTAATGAGAGACCAGGAGAAAGAAGTTGTGTATGAGTTCAGCACAACAAAAAAGGTATGTGTTTGGCTCTAAGTGTTAGAGCTGCATGTCCTCAAGGCAGGGCTCTCTGCTGCCTGCAGAGTGGGCAGATGAACCTGAGCAGAAGTTTCATGTAAAACTTAGCCATGTAAGCACCAAGACGAATACCCATTGCTAGCCAGCATTATAAAATTTGAGATACAAGTCACCGAAAACTTGACAATTTGTACACATTGAATGGGTTAAAATTTTACAGAAAACAAGTCTGACCACATGTGGCAGTGCGTGCACAGCAGGATGCCCCAGTAGGGTGCCATCATGAGACACAAGGAGTAAGGTGATTGTGCAGGTTTACACACACACCTGCTTAGGACTTTCCATTTAGGTGAGGCTTCGCATTTCTAAATACCCAGTAGTTCCTGGGCTGATGATTTCTGTACTCACAGCTCATGCTGTAGTGATTGTCTCCCCATCCTTGGAGTCCTTGTGGTATAAGCGATTGGTTTTTTATTATAGCAGGACCTTGGTTCATGAGCTCAGTTCTCCCCATGATCCTGGTTGCACCCTGAAGTGGACCAGAACTAAATCAAATTTCCCCTTAAAGTCAACATTGACCCTAACCATTGAATTTGATTCGGTTCTTTTCCAATTCGATTTGCAACCAGAACCATGGAAAGAATCAAGTTGAAAAGGTGTTTTTTTCAGTGAATGAGTATCAAAGTATCATTTAATGACCCCTTCCTATAGAAGAAAAATTTCACCTGGTATTTTAATATCTAAACAGTAGATGGAATAAACAAGAATTCAGAAGATGAAAATACAGATAAGCTCAGACGAGGCCTAATATGCGAAGATTGCTTTGGCACAACTCGGGAAATCATTGCTCACTGAGTGGAGCGGGTAACAGTGGGCAGCCAGGTCTCTCCAGATCCCATCTGGCATCTGTGGCCTCACCGCCCCAGGAAGGGGACAGACATGGGGAATTTTTACCCCAGAAGGGTGTTGGCTTAGTCCTACTAAGCAAGTTGTTACCAGTTAGCACTGTGGTCCGCCTTCTCGGGTCGTGCAGGTCACATTTTTCTGGTAGGTACTTACTTGCATTACTAAGACCCTTTTTAGGGCAGGGTAAAGATAAACATGAGTGTACTTTGCTCTTTTGTTTTTCCAATCCAGCATTTAGCAGAGTGCTTGCTTCGCTCCATTCTCTCAGAACTGAAGATTCAGAGGGCATCTGTGGACCACAATTATATGCACGCCCTCTGCAGAGTGTACGTGGGTATTTGTCGGCAGCTTGGAGACCTGGCAAGAGCTCGCCTGTTTTGCTACAGTCTGCTGAAGGAAGGTGTGTGTAGACCAGGACATTTTTGTATTGAAAATAGTATGATTGTTTCTCTTGCCTAATACTTGGAACTCTATTTTGGGGCTGCTGTGTCACTTTAAATAATGTTATACTTTGTGCATGTATTAGAGGATATAAATAGCTTGCCTGATTTTTCAGTAGCATTTGCTTAATCAGCACATACATTTTCTTTTTCTTTTCTTTTTTTTGGTACCAGGGATTGAACTAGGGACCTTGTGTTTGGCAGAACCACTGAGCTAAATCCCCAGCCCATCACATACATTTTCAGTTGAACATAAACAGTAGGGTGTGTCTTGTTACTGTGCATTTTATTCCTGTGTTGCTGCTTTAGAATGAGACCTAGTTGACAAGAAATGCAGGGAGGGTTTTAAACACCAAGCCAGACTGCTGTGCTTCTTACTGGAAAGGCAGGCAGTACTGTGCATGCACTCACAAGCTCAAGCAAAGAAGTGCATCAGGGATGAAAAGGAGATGGATGTGAGGGTTATTTTGTGATTATCCTTTCACTACTGTTACTTCGGTCTCTAGAAGGAGTCAAACCAGGACTTCATTGCCTCAGACCATCTGTGCTTTTAAATGAGGAGATGATATGCCAGTGCAACTTAATGTACTGAGTCGGAGTGTTCCCTACAGATGGGTATTTACTCTGTGGGAAGAAGGCAAATCCCTTCCCGTCCTTTCAGAGTGTATGGTCTAGTGGAAGACACAGACAGCACACCAGTTATGATTCAGTAAGTGATTTGCACATGGAAGCAGACAGGAGGACTGAGGCGGAAGGATCTTGGCGAGTGGGCAGAGAGGGACCGCAGGGACAGAGCACGGGGAAGATGGGCTCATGCAGCAAGCCCTCGTGTGGGGCGTGTCGAGGACCCCAGTAGTGTCACACACGCGGATGCTGGTTTCGGCAGTGGTGGGCAGTAGGGCGGGTGTGGGCCCAGCTGGTCCTGTGGATTTCTGTCACCTGCAGCAAGCCCCGTTCCCTGCAGGCTCCGTTCTCACAGGTTTCTCCTGCGTCCCTCAGCTGCATGAGGGCTCCCTCTCCTCCTCACACCTCCTGCGTCGCTCTGTTCCATGGCGCGTATCACTCTTTGCTGTACCCCAACCCTTTTATTTGCTTGCTCTCGAACCAGCTTGTACATTCTGAAAGGATGGAGACTCATCTGAGCCCCAGTGTGTCTCCACTCCAGAAAAATGCTTTATTGGCAACCGTTAGCTATGAGGAGTCCCAGGAGCTTTACTTGTCCAAATAACTTTTGAATTGAACAGATCAGAGTAAGCATTGAGTTTGTGCTTTGGTTTACCCGTTCTTTATACGCACATGGCAGTGACAGATAAAGTAGAACAGAGGAAATTAAAACTGCGCTTTTGTGACAAACAGGATCAAAGTCTTCACGTTGACTGGCATAGTCTTATTCGAAAAAGAAAAGATGTAATGAAATGAATACGTTTATTAAGTGATGCAGAAATTCCACTCCTAGATAGCCAACAGAAGTAGACATACCTTCACATAGACATACTCTGATTCGCAGTAGCCTGCAGCGGAAAGCAAACTCCTGTAGCAGATGAATGAAAAGAAAATTGTGATCTGCCAAACGGTTGAGCGCTGCTCAACCGTATGGGGGTGAGTCTAGAGTCCCGGTGCATCCCAGTGCAGGTGACTCGGGCTGTGCTGAGCAGGGATGTCAGACAGCAGTGTGCATATTGCACCGGTCCATTATTGAACGCTTGCCAGGAGACACTGACTTCCGGGACAGTAAGCAGATCAGGGTTCAGTGAGGGAAGTTTGGGACAGTAGGTATTTATTTGTTTGTCAAAATTCATCAGTATCTGTACCCAAAGAATATATTTGATTGTATGAATAGGTAAGCTAGAGCGTGGAAGAAAGTATTTACAATGAAATTAATCGAGAATCCATATATTTAATAACTACAAATCACATTTTCTGTCTACCCATGTGAATGCCCAGGGATGACATGTGTCAACTGGGAGAATTCTGGGGCTACGGAAACTTAGAGAAAGAACTTCATCCATTTTTATATGTGTTTGAGGGGTTTTTTTCAATACAGTGCTATATATTTTTCTACCGTGCTCCAAATTTAGCTAAAAGAAATATGAGGGTGAAAAAAAAGCAGGGAAGAGTGGAATACTGCTGAGAGCGCAACCTGGTCTGGGTTACTTGTTTACAGTGCCTTCAGCTGCAGGAGGCTGTGCGGGGCACTCATGAAATGACTTCTATTTGTTTCATTTTTAAATTCACTCATTCACTGAGACGTAAAGGTTTTTTACATTGTCGTCTTTCTTGTAGATTTTCCGGAGTCTGAGAAACTGACTTTGTTTATTGCGAACATGTGGCATGATGTGTTTGTCTCTCAGTCGGTGATTGGCAAAGCCATGCAGCTGGTTGCCAGGCAGCGCGCCCGAGGGGAGGTTCTGAGCTGTTTGAAAGCCTTTCTCAACTGGGAAAAGGTGAGCCTTTTAAATATCTTCTAGGACTGTACCATATTTGTAGGCCTTACGTAAATGTTACTCTTGGCTTTGTATTTAGTTTTGTTTTAGTTCATTAGCATTATAGAGATATTAGTCATCCTATGAGATCTTTTGAAATATCAATTTAGCCTAAGCTTATGCCTTTTTTTAAGCATTCATGAGCCATCCCAGGAAGCATTACAGATCTGTGGAATATATTAATTTCCCGGAGTTTGTTTATCTGCTAGCTTATGGCTGGTGAAACCCATACATATGTATGCATAGGTAAAGGGCTTGCAGAAGATGCAGATGATTTGATTCTACAGCAGGTACTCTGGGGAGAAAGGTGGTACCTGCTTCTTCCTGTCAAGCTTTTTCTGAATCTGTAATGCTGTATTTTCCTTCTTGGTTGATGGAACTGGTATTTGTTCCAAGTAATTTGTTCTCGTATGACCTTTTATTATTTTGTCATTTTGATTACTGATGTGTGAAAATAGGTGGTGTAATCAAAATACATGGTGAACCTTTAAATTAAAAATTTGCCCTTAATCCCCCTCAAAATATTTCCCCTCACTTTGAACGTGCGCGTCTCATTGTTCTTGCCACTTTCTGAAGCTTTTCTGGAAGTCCTTCCTGAGTGTCTTCGCGTGAGGTATTACTAAGCTGTGTGAACCCTGCGGCCAAGTGCCATCCTGTGGAAAGGCAGGGCAGCTGCACTGCAGCGAGTCCTCGCCCAGGGCAGTCAGCGGGTGTGGCTCTGTGTGAGGATACGTTGTGCATCAGCTCCAGGCCTGAGCCAGCCATGCGTGGCCGCAGGACCAGAGATGCTCCTGAAGCGGTCGGAACAGTGAGACGAGTGTGTTCAGAGTGGAGGGTGTTTCAAGGGTGGTGAATGGTGATTTGTCTTTAAGTGTAATAACTTCTCACCATACTTTTCAGTTTCACCTCATGGTATTTGGATCGATGTTTTTCATTCATGATTTTTGTCTAATGAGAATACAGTTAATAGTAGTAAACTTTAAGAAGAGATACTGAAGTCAGTGACAAGTTGATTTTTCTTTCATTATTTCCTTTTTTTGATGAGCATGTATTACTTTCATGCTTTCAGAAAATTCTCATGGGCCAGGGATTTAGCTCAGTGGTTCTGCCACCTGCCTCACAGTTTAAGGTCTTGAGTTCAATAGCTCATGCTTATGTATGGAGTAGAATTTTAGCAGAATATTTGTTGGGCCTTTAATTTGTTTTATAGACAGAAAAGGAAAGAGCTACTGGTGGTCCAGAGTTAAGTGACTATGAAAACGCAAATCTGTGATCAGCTCTTCAGCAACCTAGCTAAATGCACCAAAGTACGTGGGTGTAAGGTGCTATCCCAGATCCAGTGATGTAGCAATCAGGAGACTTTCTGTCCTGAGGGTAGCTCAGGGTGGAGAACTGCCTGGCACACGTGAGGCCCTGGCTCTCATTCCCTTCACAGGCCGGAGTACCTGTGGGCACGTGCACCACACACATTTGCCTCAGAGGGGGCGTCTCTTATCCAAGGTATTTGCGGCCAGCAAGTTCCCATCTCCGCATGTTTTTGCATTTTGAGATAATTGTGTAGACTTTATGTGCCGCAAAGTCCAGAATGCTCTGAGCTGAAAACTGTGAGCCAGGCACTCTCACCTAGGTGTTTGGACTGGAGGTGCTCAGCTTGCACTGCAGCGTTCGAGGTAATGCTGTGCCTCTTCAGGGCGCCCCCGCTCCATGTCCCTGCAGGGGAGCCAAAAAGATGCGAGAGCATCCTCCGCACGTGGGAAGGACTGCTGGGCCTGACTTGCTACTCGGTTATAAAGTTGCAAAATTAAAAGCCTCTTAAAAGCTTTTAATCCATACATCTTGTTCTGTTTACAATCACTTGTCACAGAAGTAAGTGTCTTCACTTTGACCATTGATTAATGTGTTGTTAATTCCTATTTAAGAAGTTAAGATCTCTTAAATGATCAGTCTTATTTATAAACTTATGATTTAGTTCATTTTTTAATCATAAACTTGATGTATTTCTCAAAAACACATCAAACTCAACCTTCTAATCTAATCATCATAATCTTTCTAATAAGTACTTAAGGAATATTTGACTGTAAAAATCAAATTTAGGATGTGGAATAGGAGTTGTATTAAATATTTAAACATTGTTCACATTCTACTAAACATAACTAATGTCATAATTCTAATATCAAATAGTGTAAGCTGTGACTAGAATTATCACTCAACAGCAAGTTCTCAGCACTTCTTCATAGCATAGATAAAATACATCTGCATCTTGGTCCATGAACACTTCTGTTTGTGAACAATTTGGTTCATGAGCAGAAATGTTCAGCAAAATTTTGCTTCCGTTGGTGAACTCTCATCTGGTGACAGCTACAGCCATGGCCATCTTCCCCACAGGAATATGGGTGTGGCTGTCTTCCCCAGTATCGTGGAGCGAATTCAGTTCGTGCATTGTCACATGTTCACAGGCGCTGTAACTTACAGTCCTATTTACAATACAGGACAACTAAAGTATGAATTAAGTTCTCTTCATGTCTAAGTTTATTTCTGCATCTTCTTGGGGTACACAGTTTGTGACTTCCCTAAGGGGATAATATTTGCCTTTTTGGTTGAGTTTGACTTGTCAGGTAGATATTTCTGGACTGTGATTTTGTTAGGGGTTATGTGATAGCTAGAAAACTGAGAATCTTTCAGGATTCTTCCGTGCAAGCTACAGATTAACACGTCGAGCCCTTCAACGGTAAAGCCAGTTTCCAGGCCCAGGCTTTGTCCTGTATTGAGGATATAAGCAGATGATCTCTTTTACCCTGGAACTCGCCTCCATTGCTGGTGGGAATACTAGCTGGCATGACCACTTTGTAAAGTAGGTGATTCTTTTTTTTTTTTTTTCTTTTATATGTAATTTTTTTTAAATTAATTTTTTTGGTAGGATTTACATACACATAATGGTCACATTCATCTTAGGGAATTTGTACCTGCACATGACATTTCTTGATTCCTCTTTGCCCCTGCATTCCCCTCCCCTCCCTTCAACCCCTCTTCCCCTCCTTATTTACAAAAGTTTTGTTTCCATTTTGGAAAAAAATGAGAAGAAAAAAATAAGTACGTGATTCTTATAAAGTTAAGCATATTCTTAGCAAAGGGTCCAGCAGTTCTACTCCTAGATATTTATTCAAGACAAGTAAAGTTTACAGCCTAAGACTTGTACATTGGTACTCATGGAAACGTTCATACTAGTAGAAGCCCGGCAGTGACCCGGGTGTCTGTCAGCAGGTGCAGAGATGGTCCCACAGTTACACCCCTGTGATCTTAACGCCAGTGCCTACAACGGCAGAGATAAGCTATGAAGATAAATACACACAAATGTAAAATAAGTTGGCTGTCATCGTCCAGGAATGGATGATTCAGTTTCATGAATTTCTGGAAAAGGCAGACTGATCTTCATTGTCAGAAAGGTTAACAAGATTTAAAGAAGCTTTTAAAGGCTTAATTTTTTTTATTGTAACTAGCAGTATAACTGATTTGAGTTGATACAGATTTGCACTCCGCATGGATTGCACCTCAGCCCTTTTGTACCTCCTTGAATGCAACATCCTGCCGGTACCCTTTTACCTGTCCTGTCCACTGCTGTTCTGTGATCATCTTATCATAAATAGTATGAATGGGATAAACAAAATCTCTGCCGCCATTTCAGAAACTTATCTTGTAAGGTTAAATGCTAACTCATCTGATGCTTACTGTAATCTTCGAGTTTCCTTATGTACGATGTGCTAGACTTGTGGCTCTGAATTTTATTTTAAATGTGTTTATGTTTTCATTCAATAGAATGCTCCTGTAGATGTTGGCATCATGGTTTCTAAGCTGCTTTTGACCATACAGTTATGTCCAAAGACAGAATTCCAGCCCAGTGAGAAATTTGGGGAAGACCTGAGTGACAGCACCTGGGAATACATCTTCGCCATTGATCTGCTCTGCTCCCATCAGAAGTGGGTTTGGACACATGATAACATTATAAGGTTGGCTGTTTTGCTGACTCCAAGATCAGTTATTTTATTTTAATTGTAAAATAGTCTGTGGATGCCGAATTGCAGTTTGACTCATTTTTATTGTCTCATAAAGGCAGCTGGAGCATTTCACTTTTGATGAGAGTTAAGATGTGTGTGTTGCTGTCACTATCCTTTGCTTGAGTTTTCGGTAATAGCTCTTGCTCCTTTGACTTGCACTCTGTTACATCTCTTCTCAGTAGAAGTGGTTCACAGGGTTCACAGGCACAGCCTCAGCATCAGCAAGTCTATATTGAATGAAGTGTATGGTCTTTGTCTGAAAATGCAAGTACTCTGGAAAATCCAGAGAAACAGAAATATTCAGAATGACAGGATAACAGCTTTTCACCTGAGAGAGAATTGAGCCTGATACTCCGGGCACGTCCTTTGTTGGCTGAGCAGACTTTTCTCAGTGCACCTGCACTTCTGGCACTGCTCATACCGTCTGTGAGAGAATGGAGAGCAGTCGTGCAGACACTCCCATGGGTCTCCATTTCCCAGGGAGGCTGGCTGAGAAAGGTTAAGGGAGTCCAAGACACCGGGGACATTCACCAAAGGATCGGAAACCCATGTTTTGAGGAAGAGCTTTTGGCGAGGACTGTTTGTACAGGGATGTTCTTCCCCTGCCTTGTCCCCCAAGACTAGGAAAAGCCAGGGAGAGGCTAGGCGTGTGTGTGTCACGCCACAGGGATTGGGTTGTAGTCCACCTGAAGAATGGGATTTAACTGCATAGCTGCCAACAGACCCTTCTGTCCCCTCGCGGACCAAGGACCAAAGCCAGGAGCTGTCAGGGCACTCTGTCCACTATCCTCCCAGTAGCGGTGAGGACGTCATGGACTGCCAGGCCCTCTGCCTGGACATTCCAGAGCTGGCCTCTTCCCACAGCAGCTGGGCACTTGCACCCTGCTTTTTGCCTGCAGAAAGAGGAAGATGTGTCTGGAAAGAAAAACCAAAATTAGAAATGTGGGAGTTGGCTGAGATGGGGTTAATGTCCCATTTGTATGTGTGTCTGTCTGTCTAATAATGCTTTATCAACACCAAGCAAGAACTCAGTACCTTTTTGTCAAAAAGAGAAAGGAGGGCAGAAGTGGTACTGCGTTCAGTCCATGGAAAGTTTCTTTTATCCGTATGAAGTGTGCTTTGATTCATGATGTTCTTTCCTTTGGCTTCGCTGTTTTGCACCCGTGGCTTCTGGAACTCAGGCTGACTTAGCACCTGGAAAATCCACCATGTCCTAGTTCTGTGGCTTTGGGGTAACGTAAGAAGAGTTACAGCAGAGTAATGATGCAAGCGTGTGTGGGCATTTGTAGCCCCTTTTAAGCCAGTGTGGGCATAAGTGTCCTGAGTACTCAAGATGTGAGCCTCTGGTGTTGCGTGTTCTCACGTAGGCTTAACTGGAGGTCGTCAGCACCTACTCTGTTCACCCACTGTCGGTGGACCGGGTGGGGTCACGTGTTCTCGGAGTGCTGACGCCCATACACCTCTCCTGTTGTTGTTTTGCAGTAAGGAGCTATGGCCTGTGATGGATAAGTGGATAAAATACAGGAAAGGACATGCGAACGTCACATACACCCCCGACGTTATTATAGCGTCCATCCTGAGACTGATTGGTGAGTTGTTTTATTCTGGCTATGCTGTCTTGGAGGGGAGACCAGAACATACTAACCATGACTGATCTTGCATCTGCTGGAGCAGGTGCTTGTATGCTTTGCCTCCTTTCTCCTGCTCAGCCCTTACACACTAGGTTGTATCCACCTTTCTTAGAGATCAAGATCTGTCACTTTAGTTCATTTACTTCGTAATTGTCCTCTTGCTTCTAGATTCTAATTAGCAATACCATGCACATCAGAGCGCGAAAATTGGTAAAAAGTCTTACGTGGTATCTACAGACAGGATATCTGCCCATGTCCCTCCCAGTTTTTTCAGGCTTGCCCAATTAAAATCACTGTTCAGAAATACTTTGAGTGAGACAGATTTTCATTATTCTTGGACCTAAAGAGGGCCTCAGTGGCCATTTGGTTCTCCGCCTGCCCTGGAGCCCCAGGTCTTTATTTTACTTTCTTGTTTTACTCTGTCTCGTGTCTGTCGTACTGTTGTCCACACAGCAGAATCCTGCAAAATTTTCAGTGATGAGTTCCGGTGATTACTGAAGGGCTCTCCTTGTTGCCCCGGGATAGACAAATCAGATCTCCTCTGAGGTCTGTGATGTAGCCCTTTAGATAGTTGAAGGTGCTCACCGTGAGTTTGGGGGTTAGGTGTTTAGGTGAAGTAAAGTTAGTACTTGAGACTGTTATATTAGATGAGTTATAAATAGGGACGGTAAGAAATACCTCTCTCTGTTGGCTCTGTTACTGTGTGGGCAAATATGTGTTTCTCCTCTGTAGGGATGTTGTGCTCAGTAAACAAATGATTACGGTAAACAGACTCAAAACCTGGTTGAAAGGTAAGGTGTGACCTCACTGGAAGTCACAAAATAAATTGGAGTTCAGTTATGCACAAGAGAAGGTGAAAACCAAGTGACTGTGAAGGGCTGTAGGAATTTAGAAGAGATGTATTAAGAGATAAGCAGGCACAGGAGTGAAAGCTCAGGAGGGTACAGTCTGAACACTGCTTTGCTGAATTCTTCAGTTCAGTAACAAATTTTGTCGTGATTGGGAGGCAGCAAAGACCCAGAAGGGCTGGCAGAGGGAGGTTCGGCAGTGCATCTGGACATTTTACCTTCAGTGACAGCTTCTTTTACAAATTTAGAAAAATCATATTTGTGCTACGAGTGAATTCATTATCAACAGTGTGGTGTTTCTTTTTGGGAATTTCAGACTTAGGAGAGACGTTTTCAATCCATAGATGCGTGCAGACCGAGGGAACAGCTATGCACTTTTCGGGGAGAGCTGTTGTTTGAAGCCACACTTTAAAATATGACCGTGGCTCTTGCTGTGGTAGCGATGGCGTGTCTGGGCTCCTGGCTGCACGAAGGGGAAGTGAGGGGAAGGGAAGGTCCTGTGCCCCGCCCGCCCCACAGTGGAGCCCCCGTGTGCTCAGGTCGGCCGCTCCGGTGCGCCACTCTCCCCAGGCTTGCCCCGGCCTCTTCTGACGAGCTTCATCACTTGGTGGGAGGTTGCCTGAGAAGCATGTCTAGGGTCCCGATTCTCGGGTGGGTCATCCAGGTTCTGATGGGTCTCGTGTAGAGCTGCGTCTGCAAAGCCTTGCAGGGAAACCTGTGACAGAGTGCCTTGGTGACACTAAACACTTTGCTCAGCTGTTAGGAAATTCTTTCAAACAAAACTGTAAAATTACATACATACTTTGAAATACATGCTACAGAAAGTAGCCCGTGTGTGAAATAAGAAAAATGTGCTAAACATTTATAAAAAATGAAAATGTATAATTGCAGGGCAAGCACTCAATTTGTATTTCTGTTAAATTAAGGTTATTCTTTAAACCCTTAAAAGCCCGGCTTTTGAGAGATCGCCAGATAGTTCATGACGTTTTAATATGTAGTCTTTAATATATGCATACTTACATAATCGAGTGACGTACAGTTTTGTCGTAGAGAATAAGTGAGCTTATGATTGGCGGTGCTGTCTGAAATGGTAACACACGTGCGTACCCGGCGTCCACAGGGTGGGGAATTCGAAAGTGCAGTGTGGAAGCAGTCGGGAGTAGGCCGTCCTACTGCCGAGGCCCTGTGGGGCACGTGGACATGCAGGCGGGGACTGTAGGCCGTCCTACTGCCGAGGCCCTGTGGGGCACGTGGACATGCAGGCGGTGAGGCCCGAGCTGGGCTCAGGGCCACTTCCGCAGGTCCTCGGGCACCGACGCCCAGCTCCGAGCCGGGCACCTGCTGGCTGTGGGCAGGGGTGTGGGAGGGCCAAGGCCAAGGAGAAAGGGCACGAGGCCTGCTGTGAGCCCTGCAGCTCTGCTGGCCCAGGAGTAACCCAGGGCTCGGTGCTCCTGTCTGTTCCGTGCACACACTCGTCTGCATTGGTTGCATGTACAGGGCTGGCCTTGGCTGAAGACCTTAGCAAAGAATAAGTTGGTACGTATGAATCAGTGATTACAACTGAAGTCACATACTAATCATTCATAAAAGAAAAAACGCCCTCACTGTCTATTACAAATTTGCAGAAGTCCTCACTAATGAGTCTTATTCAGTGGCAAATAAAACAAGTTTTCGGTGACGTATAGTGTTGTCCTGCACAGAATTGAGGTGTGAGCTTTGCTGTGGCCATCTGTGATTCTGAAGTGTGATTTTTCTGGACTGCCTAAACAGCATGTGCTCCAGACCAGCTGCGGGGTGCTGGGCTGACTTGGTGTCCAGGGCGTCTGGGACAGAACCCGGCCTCGCCCCAGGACTCCTCCTTTCTTGGTGATGTTGAGGCCTAGAGAAGGTCACCCCTGCAGAGACACCACTCAGTGGGAAGGGAGCAGAGCTGGCACAGAAATGCCTGCTGCTTGATTCAGGGCAGAGTACAGCTATACAAGGTCACCTCTGTGTCCCCAAAGTGCCCATTGAATCCTGAATAATATGACCACCTGCTGTGAACCAGAACGCAGAAGTAGGAAAGCTCTGTTTCCTGTCCCAGACTGAGATAACCAGCACCTATTGATTCCTGCCCAGTCATCCAGCTGTGCTTTGGCGTTATCTGAGCTCACCCTTTCCTTAGTGTGCCTGCCACTGAAGTCTTAAAGAAAGCCAGACTCTGTCTTCCCCTGGTTTGCAGGTCACCCCAGAACCCCCTTCCCCTTGGGCCGTCAGCTCCCGCCAGGCCATGTGGCCGTGCAGTGGTCGTTGTCTCTGACCCTAAGATGCACTCCTCATTCCGTCTGTGCACTAGGAGGCGTCCTTCTGTGGGGCACTTGTCTTCCAGTTTCTTAAGCCAGTTCAGCATCCCTGTCAAGTTGTCAAGTCATTGTATGTTTCTTTTTCCCCAAATGTCTTCTGTAGATCCATTCCTTTTATTTTATTCCTGATGGCTCCATGAATTTAAATTCCTTATAAAATCGATTGTATTAAGTAAATACAAAGGGAGCCGCTGCAGCATGGTATGTGGGTTATCTGGGACCCACTCGCACCCTGTGACCCTGGCTGCAGCAGGCGCACCTTCGTCCTTTGCTCTCGGCTGTGTGTTTGATAGGTCTGGTTGACTGTCCCGGAGGACACATCTGGAGCCTGTAGTTAGCGAATAGGTCTAATTGCAAGGAAGTACTTAAAAGTGATAATGACAACTTGAAATTTGTGATATTTGAAGTAATTACTTTTCAGCCTCATCCAAGGCTATGTGAAGATTACCTAGATACTAACAGTGTTGTGCCGGATTAGGAGTTACTCACATTCTCTTAAGACAGTAGATAGTGGCTGAGCATTCAGGTGTGTGGCAAGCATTAGCTTGGTTCTGGAAGGAAAGGGATGAAGGTTACCTTACGGAGGTACTGCTTGCTTCAGTTTCTCTGTGTTCAAAGTAGAAGGGCTTCATTTACCAGCCTGTGTGGAGTTTGTGCTACTGAGACACAGCGTGAACACAGAGCCAGGAGCATGCAGTGCAGCACTGCCATAAAGCTCACCCGGGACTGATTCCCAGATAAAGAAAGAGTCAGAAGAAGGTGAAGGCCAAGCCCGGTGGCTGCAGTGAATCTTACACGCGGAGCAGGCTGGCACCACCCTGCAGGAGACTCTGGGCCGGAGGAGAGGAGCCAGCGAGCAGCTCAGCCGTAGGCTCAGTAGCACAGTGGTGTTTTCATTCAAACAACTGTATTTCTAGAATAAAAGCTAAGGGAATGGCATTACCTTATTGCAGGCTTCTTTCCTCCTGGCTTTGCAGAATACAGCTGGTTTTTTTGTCATCGCTAAATACAGATATATAGGTGGTGAAAGGCAAAAGTTTTTTAAAATGTATTTATTTATTTATTGTGGTACTAGGACTTGAACCCAGAGCCTTTGCTCAGCCACCTTGCCAAGTCTTTATTTTTAATTTTGGTCAAAGTCTTGCCAAGTCACTAAATAACCCAAGCTGGCTTCTAACTTAACAGTCCTCCTGCCTCAGTGTCCCAGAGTGCTGAGATTATAAGTGTGCACCACTACTAGGTAGAGTATTTTAATAGCCTTTCAAATGGTTCTGGATATTTCTTTTTGATGTAGAATAAAATGAGATTGTTTTTTGTTTTGTGTGTGTGTGTGTGTGTGTGTGTGTGTGTGTGTGTATTTGTGTGCTAGAGATGGACCTCAGAACCTTGTGCTTGCCAGGCAGGCGTGGCACCACTGAGTTCCATCCCCATCCCGTAATTTCTTGAAGTAATTGCGTGTGAAATCTTCATGTTGTTTAATTAAAACCCGCTGGTCTGGCTTGCATGGTGAAGGGATCCATTTGCCTCCTGATGAATTTTTAACCCGTATTGTTCTCTTGAAAATAAATGATTCATGGGCATCTTCAGACGTGAGCAACATCATATCCTCCGTGCTCCACTCTCCGAGTCAGCAGTGTTCTTGGAGAAGTCTTGTGTATTGGAGTCTGTCAGGCATGGGGCAGCTGGTGGAAATGGTCCCCGAATTCTAACTTTGCTTCAAAACTCAAATGTCGCCTTTACCCACAGTGGTAACTTCCGGGGAGTCGGGCTCACCCTGTTCCCGGCTGAGAGCGCCTCCGCTTTGTCCCAGACGCCCACCTTGTCAGGTGTGCTCTTGGCACACGTATTCATCTCACTCATGAATGCGTGCTTTGCTTCCCATTGGCCATGTGCAGGGGAGCACAGGGAATGCGGCCACCTCTCAGCCGTCCCCAGCTCTGCGCTCCCGGCCAGTCTTGGAAGGTGGCTCTGACCACTTTGCTGGGCCGCCCTCCGGTGCCTTGGCTCGAGCTGGCTCTGTAGGCGGCTGGTGCCAGAGGAGTGGCTCCCTCAGGAGATGCCACCGCTTTGACCATGTGTGGGTGCTGAGCTGGTTCTGCTGGTCCTCTGCCGAGCACTGCGGGAGGCGGGGCTTCCTCACCTGGGCAGCACTCTGTGAGGAGCATCTCCATGGAGTGGTCCTTCTTTGCTGTCTCCTGCTCTGTCAGGAGCTCTTCACATCTGACCCGCCGAAACCACCCTGTCCTACTGTAAGTCCATTTATTATGCTGCCGCTTAGCTGAGAAAGCCACGCACCCTGTTGTCTGTGAAGAAAAGCAGAGGTGATTAGCATTGCAATGACTTCCGGAAGACAGACTGCTTTATTAAGTCTCGATGCTTTGCTGTTTAACTGCTTTCACCTAATAGGTACCCACTTTAGCTTCAGAATTTTAAAGTTTAAATTATATAATAAGGAAAACACAAATTTAAAATTTTCATGAAAAGTTATCAACATTTCACCAGAACTGTTTCCACTTTGCTGTGTTTCCTTTAGGTCGCCTGGGTCAGCTGGGTTTAAAGGAAGGCTTTCCAACTACTGTGAAAAATATCAGTTCGGTTATTGGTATGTTCATACAGCATGCTCAGGATGAAGGTAATTCTTGCTTATTCAATCACTTTCACCTACTGTTTGAACTCTGTTTTCATCTTTACTCTGTACCAGGTTCTGTGTTTCTCTCCCTGCTATTTGGGGTTTGGGGGTGTGTTTGGTTATTCATGTGGTAGTAATCAGCTTGGTGGGCAGAGCTTCTCTCAGGAGGAGGACTCTCTTCTGCCCCTGCTGCTGGCCCCTGGCCCCTGACTCCAAACACTGTCTCTGGGCTGTGGGCCAAGCCTGGACTGCCCTCGGCCTCCTGCTTGTGTCCTGACTAACCCAGATCGCAGGAGAGCAGTGCTGCCTGGTGGGTGGGACACCCAGCATCCACAAGCTCAAGTCGGCAGGAGGGAGTCTGGAGGCCTTTGGAGCGGATCTGCAAAGCAGGTCTGTCATCCTGGATGTACTGCGTAGCATGTAACCTGGCCAGTTCTCTTGTAGTACGAGCTTGACTCAAAGTCACCCTCACAAGTGACGAATCCAGCTTCTATTTAGAATATTGTGTAAGAAGGAAGCGTGTAGTTAAATCGCCCCTCAACAGAAATGTACAAAGTGACATGTTACGCACTGTGTGGCACCCGAGGTGATCTGACATGGTCAGGTCTCTGTCTTCAGCTTGCAGTGAGGCTGATGCGTTGAGCTCATAGAGAACAGCCCAGCGATGCTTGCCCTTCTCTGTGGTCCATTGTAGACTTCAGGGTCGCTGCCTCAGTGATGCCCTCTGGTGTCTTCTCCCATCCAGCCCAGAGTGTGCACTGACATGGGAGAGTGGTGGCCCCACACGTGCAGGCTAGCTGTGATGCTGGGTGGGCAGAACCTGGCAAGGAGGAGGAGGAGCCATGTGGGGCCGCTGTCGTGAGGGCCTGCCTGGTTCCTGCCCGCAGCAAGGCCCGGATGCCAGGCTAGCCCTTGGAGGTAGACGGTGCTGTCCTTGTTCCCTGCACTGAAGCCCGGGGGAAGGTCCTGCCCTGCCCACTCTGTCCAGGCTGCTTCAGTGCAGAGCCAAGGCCCTAAACCGGGCCGTGGCTGGTACTAACAGGCTCTCCCTGTGCCTTGCTCTGGGGAAGTGGTTTAACCATGCCAGTTCTGCTGATGTTGTCAGCATTACTTGGGAATGTGTGGGTTTTTGTGTTGCGTTGTTTGTTTTAAATACAGGTGGAACGTCCCTACTCCAAAAGTTGACAGTATCAAGTACTCTAAAATCAGAGATTTTTGAGCACTGACATGACCCCAAATGGTGAAAATTTTCACACCACAAAACTGTTTAATGCACAGAATTATTAAAAAATACATATAATCACCTTCAGGCTATGCAGACAAGGATTACATGTGAATTGTGTTTAGGCCCGAGTCCCCTACCCAGGATACCTCCTGTACACAAAGGTATTCCCAAAGCCCAAAGACCTGAATTGCTCTGGTCCTGTGTTGGACAGGACATTTAACCAGCACAGGTTTGCCTTGATGGACGGTGCAGCACTCACAGAAAATGAAAACATGACTAATAATAAGTTTAATGCCCAAGATATTTAAGTAAACTTAAATTTTAACTCCTAAAGGAACATCTGCTAAAGGAGAACTGTGATAATATAGTGTAATTGACCAAGCGGTTCTGCCCAGACTCATACACTGTGATCTGGGATGTAAAAGTTTGAGCACAGCCATCACTTTGTCTTCTTTCCTTGCGGTTTCATGTCCAGAGTCCGTCTCCAAAAGTCCTGGTCCTGGACTCGGCTCCCAGTTGCTTAGAGGGTTGTACTTATGCCTTTCTCCTTTCCCATTATAGACGGGTCTTGAATGTTTTGTTTTTCTATTGGACACTTCCTGTGGATTTAATTTTCATTGCTGGCAGAAAGTGTTCTGTTAATTGTAACATTAACACTGAATAGCAGGTCTCTTCCTGTGTTACAACTGATTTGGAAATTCCTTTCAGATATCCCATGGGGTGTGCAGTTGGCAGCTGTGTACGCTCTGTGTGACTTGAGCCCCAGCAACCCGGAGGAGATACTGAAGATCCTGGAAGCCTGGCGGAGGGAGACCTCCAACTGCATCCCCTCCGCCATCGCCAGCTGCCTGGAGGAGGTTGGCTCCCTGCAGGCCGAGGAGCTCGGATGAGCGTGACTCCTCTGCAGAGGGACAAGTGCCTTGACACATCCTGGCGCCAGTGGTTGTCCGGCAGGCTCCCGGCACGTGGAGGAAGATCCAGAGGATGGCAGCATGAGGTACCAGTGCGTGGGCACTCTCCTCATGGCTCCGCCGGGCCAGGGTGGAGAATCGAGCAGTCGTGGAATCGTTACTCCGAACGTTTATTTCACTTCCGGCTGTTGTAATCATGTGACGTGTGGATGTATTACTGTGTTGGTCAAATGAAAACTTGAACTTAGCCCTTTTTTTGCTGCAGAAAGTGTCCTTTTAGTGGCTTTTAAAAACTGAGTGGCATTTTATAATGAATTTAACAATATAAAACATGATTTGGTTCCTGAGCTATTTTTAGACGTTCTGCTCAAATGAGCGACTAGGAAAAAGCAAATTGGCTACAAAGAAAACTAGCAGAGTCTTCCACTGTGTTAGTTGGATATGGGCTACAAAAGCTTTTCCCAAAATCAGTGCATAATCGACCAGAGTAAAACACTGAGTGCCATTAGCATAAACCCATTGAATGCATTTTTCTTCCTATCACTAAAGTTCCTTAAACGTGTAACTCTCTGTCAGGAAGAGAGCTGAGCCTTGGGTTCCTGTGCCGACTCCTACTGGCACCTGTCTTGGGCCCCCAGGAGGGCATGGCCGGCCCCGTGTGCCGTGTACATAGGGACAGTGCTATGATGTGTCTCACATTGGATGATGTTCCACTTGCGGAATTTTAGTATTTGTACATAGAAAATGGGTTTAATAACTCACCGTGATTCTGATCCTGATTTGTCTTATATTCATCATTTCTTAAACTCTTGTATGTGTTTTTATAATAAAAATAAAAGTAAGCCATGTACACTGTTGTTGTGATGAGTAGAGCATGACCCTTGGCCTTGTTTCTGCACCCAGACAGAGACGCTGCCTGGAGAGCAAGAGAGGCCTTTCCTGGGGAGGCCCGCTTTCCCATGACACTGGTCTGCCCACGTCCGCCCGGCCTCATGCTCCCTGGTGACACTGCTAGCAGAGAATTTGGTGCAAAATGGTCCCCACAGTTGGCTTTAGTGGTGTTTAAGTTTCTGCCCTGTAAAAATGACACTTGACTGCCATTTCGCTGTTCTTACATAACTACCACACACACAGCTGAAATTCAGGGGTAAACAAGTCAGCCTCCGTTGGTACCCATCTCCCCACCCCTCAAGTGCAGCATGTTCCCTTGGCCACCTGTCTGTCAGACCAGGCCAGGGGCAGAAGAGTCTCAAAGGGCTCTGCCTGGACAGAGAACATCCCCAAAGTGATCGCCCCACACAGCAGTCAGGAGTGGGCTGCTGCCATGTAGAAAGCAGGGAGCATCGCAGGCAGAGCAGCAAGATGCCACCTCCCTCCGCACTGGTCGTGGAGGACACCCTGAGGACTCGGTGCTGCAAGCACCTGGACGGGGGAGCCTGCCTCAAACTCAGGAGGATCCTTCCTGGAGGCAGGCGAAGGTGGCGGAGAGAGAAGGCTGAGGCGGAGGGCCTTGCCAGGACCTGCCGCAGGGCAAGCGGAGGGCGCAGAGGAGGTGGTGGCAGTACACACCTCTCAGGGTGTCTGAGTGAGGTGGGTGGCAAGGAAGCAAGGGCGAGCCCCCGGCTCCTGAGTGGACACCTGGGCCAGGGACAGGTAGGTGCACAGGTCTGGTGGTGCTAAGCCTGCCCTTTGCTCAGGGAACTAGGAGACACTCGGGCCTAAGTGGTCAGGAGTTCCTGTGGGACAGCCCTGTAGCAGCTGTCGGGCCAGGCTGGAAAGGTACAGGCATACAGAAGCCACTTGGAGTTCTGTGTATTCCCCTGGACAAAGTGACTGCCCAGGCCCTCCTGTGATGTGTGTCGGGGGAAGCTGGTGGGCGAAAGAGTCTTGACAGGTAGTGGCAGTGCCTAAGAGTGGATTTGCCCCATGGCTCAGACATGGTCTCCTCAGCAGTGGGTATTTCTGCTGTTCTGTCGTCACCGTGCTACCTCAGGTTGCCACACTTCTCACCGCCAGTGCCCTGGCTTACCTGTCAGCTGTGCCTTCACGAACAGGTGCCATGTGACCTCCTGAAGGAAAGGAGTTTGAGGTTGTCAATTTCTGGCAGCCAAGTCGAACAGTGTTGGAGGACTTTATCATTTGAAGCAAAAGTGAATGAACACTTAGGCCTGCAGTTGGTGAGGCTATAGGTGAGCGTGGCTCTGTGGAGCCACATCGGTGCTGGACAGCTTCCCAGGGTGGGGCCTACTGTGTAGTGGAGTGAGCCCCACAGCAATTGCCTGGTTCTGAACATGAGGATTGTGGTGCAGGACGTCCAGGGAGCTGCTGGGCTGGGCCAGAGGCACCCTCATTGCCCCTGCCGTCAGGACCAGGCACCTCTCTGAACCCCCAGCTTTGCATTCCAGTCACAAATCAGCCAGCACATTAGCCATACAATGTCCTTGTCACATTGCTTAGTTTGTTTTTTAAGGTAGGTTAGCAAATTGTAAAAGACCCTCAGACAGGAAGTATGCTTGGAACTGGGTTCCCAAGCGGCCATCAGGGCATGCTGCACACAGCAGAGGAGGCTCCTTAGCTGGAGTCCCACCTTCCACTAGAAAGGCTTAGCTCATTCCTGTTAGGGCTGCTAGTTTCAGTGCCGAGGTCCCATAGCTCTGGATTGAATGGGGTGGGGGAATATGAAGGATACACATGAAATTAATTTTATTTGACAGTTCAGAGAAGAAAAAGCAGCAAGTCCTCTGCCTTTGTGGTGCAGTTCTTTTCTGATGGTTTTTAATGAGTCTAAAGCAACATGCTTTGATCAAAAACAAAGTGTCCAGGTGGTTCCTGACAGTGTCAGTGATCGTGGGTGGCAAGTCTAGCACTTTCACCAAATTAATTTGTGTACAAAGCAGCTCACTAAGCCCTTTATCCATGGTGAATGCATTCATTTCTTGTCGAACAATGTTGCTGACATACTCTCTTGTGGACAACCTTGTCCAAAAGGATTTGTAGTGTGAATAGAGCTTGCGAATGAATCTCATCTACCTGTGTTGTTAGAACTGAAGATGCAGCACAGGCTTCCATAAGGCACACTCTAAAATTCATCTCACTTTCCAAAGTTCCGTGGAGCCTCAGCTGTAACAGTTTCCTTCACCGTATCCCTCTGTTCTCCTCACTCTCGTTGCAGCTCAGCCTGCATGATTTCAGGGCCCGCAGAAGCTGCCTTTCCTGCCCCTCCAGACAGAATTTTAGGGATGCCCACTTCATAGGGTGACATCTCCATCTTAATATCCTGGAATATTTTTGTGAGTTGAGCTGTCACTGAAATAGTGGTTTATGTGTTTTGTTTGTGTTACAGTTAAGTTCAGATAGTGCACGAAAAGATAGAATCAAGACTGAAGAGCCAGGCAGGGTATTACTCGGTTTTATGACAGTGAATGTGCCCACTTACTTTATACAGGACCCTGTTTTGGTGAAGGACATTAGGACTTTAGCCTGAGCTCGGATCACCCCTGCATGCCTCCTGGGTGCCAGCATTCACACTGGGAGCTCAGACTTTCCTGCTGGGAACAGATGGGGCCATTGGGGAGAGGCAGGAGAGGCCTGGTGAGCTCCTCCTGGACCAGTATTTGTAGATCCTGGGGCCTTGGCCACATCTCCCAGATTCTGGGGTCCTGGGGGTGCCACTGCCCTTAAGTGGCCCCAGGACTGCTGCCTGCCAGCCCTGCTCTGGGTCCTGCGAAGGTCATGTATCTCGTTTCCAGATGGCTTCTGTTGTCCCCTGTTGATCCATGTTAGAGGAAATTTGGGGAGAAGACAAGAAAACATGTCCTTCCACCAACTTGAACTAAATCCAGTTGCTAACTTTCTTTGTTCCTGTCATTTTAGAGTTTTATTTTTCTTTATCACTAGTTGCTGCTCTGAAATAACCTCATTCTAAACCCCAAATATACAGAACTGACAAAAGTCAACAGGGTTAATGAAAGGCTGAAAATACAGGAGATGTGGTCAAAATATATGGTGAATATCTTCACTGCCTCTTTCCTGAGACAAAATACCCAGCACCCAAAGTTAAAGGAGGAAAGGTTTATTTCAGCTCACAGTTTGTAGAGGTTTCAGTTCATAGTCGTCTGACTCCAAGGCAAAGTGGCGTGGCAGAGGAGAAACAGTTCATGGCAGAGCAAGCAGAAGGCAGCAATGAGCAGTAGGTAGCAGCAGTGGCTGCCCTTCCCTGTTATCCCATCCAGGCTACCCATCTTTTGGATGGTGCCACATAGGAACTAGGCTGATTCCAATCAGTGAACTAATTTAGTACCACACACCCTTAATACCAGTATCACATGCCCTAGATCCAGCCAGCTCTGATAAACCCCACCTATGAGCACATGCAATTTTGGGGGGATGACTAGATACAAGCCATAGGAGCGAATATTTAAATGTTTAAAAGTTTATTACATTAAAGACACATTGACCTGAATCCCTGCAGTGTCCACACTTCACTTTGAACACACCCCATCATCATGCTTGCCACTTTCTGAAGCAGTTCTGGAAGACCTTTTTCATGAGAATCTTTACAGAATACAGTCAAAGATACAGTGAATGCTGCTGCTGAAGGCCATTGCAGAAAGGCTTGTAAAAACACGACACTTTGTCCTCCACCGCCCTATGTACTGGATCTGGCCCTTTGTGACTTCTGGCTCTTCCCCTAAACCAAAATGACCATGAAAGGAAACAGTTTTAATCCATTCAGAACATCAAGGTAGCCATGACAGTACAACTAAAGACACCCAGGAAAAAGGACTCCAAAGCCACAGAAAGTTGCCAGAATGATGGGATTGAAAGAGCTAAAGACATCACATTACAGTGATCCATGCACACCTGTGTTCATAGCAGCACAACGCACAGAATCTAAATTTTGAAGTAGCCTGTATATCTATCAACAGATGAATAGATAAAGGAAATGTGGCATTTATACACAGTAGAGTACTACTCTGCCATAAAGAAGGATAAACTTGAGACATTTGTAGGAAAATGGATGCACCTTGAGACTATAATGTTGAATGAAATAAATCAGACACAAGTTTAAATAGCACATGGTTTCTCTCATGAGAAATGCGAATCATAAATAAAAAAACAGATAGGAAACAAGGAGATGATCTTTTCAAATAGGAAGACATTCAAGATATGGAGGAGGAAAGGGGAAGGGATAAAAAGGAATTAGGATGTTACGCATATGTGCCAGCCCCTGTGATGAATGCCGTCATTATGCACTGCAAACGTGCACTAATAAAAATTGAAAAAAGGAAAAAAATGACCAGATGAATGTGTTCATAGTGAGGATATATTTTGAGGGGTATCAATGGCGGTACATCTTTCATTATAATGCATTTTTAAAATTAAATTTGCATCACTTTTGTGTCTCGATAGTCAGAAACTGTCCCTTGAGGGTTTACTTTCTGTGTGTTAATTTGTATCACTGTGTACTTAATAGTTTAACTTGCGATGCGATACTTACTGTTCTCTAAGCTGTACGTTTGTATGCAAGTAGCAGGTAAGCACCTTGCATCTTCCTCTCTGGCCCTGCTCAGCAGAGGCAGCACTGGTCTCCATCTCTATTTCTTCCTAGCCAGTGCAGAGCTGGGTTCCTGCCTGCGAGGTTTCCCCTGGGGTGAACGGGTGGTCCTCCTGGTAACTGAGGGGAATCCCCAGTTACGCAGAGGAGTCTGTAGCCCTCAGAGGCTGTGGTACCTGGAAGTCAGGTGTAAAGGTTCTTCCCGTGCTCTGGCCTTAGGATTTAGGGAGGTGGGAGCTTCCGGTAAAGGCAGCCCTTCCGCTCCTTCAAACAGGAAGTGTGTGA